CAATATCTAGATCCATTAGGAGATAATTGGAGTGAAGATTTTGTTAAAATAGAATTTTTGCATTTTCTTCTGGGATCAAAGAAGCTTTTAAGACTCAATAAACCTCATCTTACCTCTGTTGCAGATTGTCCAAAAAAACTACTGCTTTGCATTGTGCCACCTGAAAATCAACCGTTTTACTGTTAAATCTCTTAAAACACTAAAGTAACTTGCCTAATTGCATATTAGATCCAGAGTCCCTTCCGAAGAGAGATTGGCGCAAAATCAAACGGTAGAATACACCGGCACGTAGGGCAGGATTTCCAGTTTGGGGGATCTAAAGGTAACACAATTTTAGACGATGGTTAATGGTTATAAATGTTTCTTTGTTATCATAAGATATCTTATCCACCACTGCTTGCTATTTACCTGTTGTTTACACAAATATGGAGCAATCATAGCCGGATCTTCTTGGCGAGGCCAATCTGTGCTTTCTGGGCCAACATTTATTGTTGGGCCTTGATCCAACACCGTGGCAAATCCAATGTAGCCATTGACGGAGAGCTGAAGGAACGAATATTTGATTCTTTTTAATAACTCAAAAATATTGGAAAAGTAGGAAGGAGGATTTTTTGGGAGATAATATGGCCAAGGGATTTATTACCGTAGTATAGTTATAGAGTCCTCCGTAAAATGGGAAAAACATGTGTAGATCGATTGTTTGACCAGCAGTCAACATTCCTGGGTTGACTTTCAAATCACCAGCTTCTGGTCCAAATGGGACGAGATTCACTAAAAAGAGAGTCATATCAGAAAAGTGAACTAACAAAACTAGAATACCTTAATCTTATTTGATAAATTGGGATTTTTTAAGGAGATAAAAACCTAGATCTCAGAGATCTTTCTTATATTTTTTACAACATAAATAGATTTTTTTTCTCACACGTGTTTTCAATATAGATGACATAAAAAAGTGTAAAATGAAGTGAGTCTAAGCTATGACAAAGAAGAATTTTTCATATATTTATCTGCCTTCGTATTG